ACAGTCTGTTTCTGTGAATGATCTGCAAGCTGATATCAAAGATCAGAAGAGTGAAAGGATTCACAAAAAATTGCAAAGTCATGAAAGAACTGGATACCAAGACAGAATACTATCTAGAAAAAAACTCATGTTTTAAGAGAATGGAAATTCCAGACACTTGGGCTTACATCCAACAACATATTGAATGGATTTCTGATCACTTAATGGAAGTCCCTTTTCCTCTTTTCCTTCACCTTGAAACAGATATGAGTAGACAGGGGTCTTAAGCAGGGAGGAGAAATTTCCCAATCTCCTGTTGGAATACTTCGATTCACCAAGAGGCACACTTCCTGATCCTGTAGGTGGAATATTCTACTATCTCAAAGAAAACAATATCAGTTAATTCGAGTTCATTCTTTTGGAATATATACTACAGTCAAATCATAACATTCTCTTTCCTTACCATCATGGCCAGAATTGAGAAGATGTTCACCAAGGTCACAGCCAAATACTCTCTCCTTTAAGATCCCACGTTGCTTCAATTTCTGTTTGGTTGGCCGAGACTTCATGAATGTGCGTAGGAAAGTAATAAGCTTGCCGTGCTTTTTTGACACTGTCAAGGGAAAGAAAAACCTCATTTTGTTGGCAGACAACCATATAGCAACATTGATATTATATTCTACAAATACACTGCTTATTCTAGTCACTGTCAAGCCACTTGGCCATGCATGGAACCTCTTGCACTTCCAAAATAATCTCAGCCCCCTTACATTGTTCATTATACAGTGGTGCCTCGCTTTATGATTGCCCTGCATGACGACGAAACCGTATGATGACGATCTTTTTGCGATCGCAATTGTGATTGCAAAATGATGGTCTAAATGGGGTTTTTCGCTTTGCGATGATCGGTTCCCTGCTTCTGGAACTGATTCTTCGCAAAACGACAATTTTAAAACAGCTGATCAGTGGTTTCAAAATGGCCACCGGGTAAACAAAATGGCTCCCCGCTGTTTTCTGGGATGGATTCCTCACAAGACAGGCAGCGAAAATGGCTGCCCTATGGAGGATCTTCGCTGGACAGTGAGTTTTGACCCCATTGGAATGCATTGAAGGGGTTTCAATGCGTTTCAATAGTTTGTTTTTTTCGCTTTACAATGTTTTCGCTTAACGGCGATTTTCCTGGAATGGATTATCGCCGTTAAGCGAGGCACCACTGTACATAGATAAAACAGCTTGAGAAGAAACTAAATTCTATAATGAAAGACCAAGTTAAAGCATACGGTTAGGCAGTAGCTGTAACTCCAGATATTTGCAACACAAGAGAGACGACTGATGGGAAGAGGAAGCAAATTACAATGGTGGCGGCAACCCATTTTTATCTTCCTGGTTTCCCTTCATGCATGAAGATTGCTGAAGTCAATCCATTCATCATCAACCATGTATAAATAGGGACAGATACACAATGGGAGGGACTATTTCTCCCTATTCCTAGAAGAAAATACAGTGGTGCCTCGCTAGACTATGATAATCCATTCCACTGAAATAGCTGTTTAGCGAAATCATTGTCTAGTAAAAAGCATTTCCCATTGGAATGCATTGAAACCTGTTTAATGCGTTCCAATGGGGAAGAATTGTCGCTGTCTAGCAAAAATCAGCCATGGGAAATCTGCTTTGCGAACTGCCGATGAGCAGTCTTGCGAAGCTTAGGTCCCGAAAACACCTGGTTTGCGAGCGCGGAGGGAGCTATCAAAATCGTCGTCTAGCGAAAATCGGTTTGTGAAGCAGGGACCAAACATTGTCCAACAAAATTCCCCCATAAGAATCACTGTTTTGCGAATCGCTACAGTGATCGCAAAGAGCCAATGTCTAGCGAAAAAACTGTCATGCGGGGTAACTGTCTAGCGAGGCACCACTGTATGTGTAGTAACAGAGCAGCTCATTGGCTGGTCTGCTGTTTGTGACAGTATTCTTTCAAAAGCCATGTTTGAAAACACTCCAGTGCTTTCTTGACCTTTCACATTAACTGGATTACAAGGTCTCAGTTTTGTTTGGATTTCCAAGCTTCACTGAACTAAAGACAAGGCTATGGAGATTTATACTAGGGGAAATTACCCTGTGATGAGCCTAGGTCAAAAGGGAAATAAACCTAGCATGCATTTGAATCAGCAATCAGGACAAAGTGGTCCCATTACAACTTTTCTGCTATTTGCAGGAAGAGGAAAAAGCCAAGAAGTATCACACCAAAGTGAGTTGCTTAACTTACTGAACTGCTTTTGTTTGCAAGCAATTCTCTTGCAAACAAAAGAGGATATTCTACTGGAATAAAAGCCACAACATAAAGCAAGTTGCCAAAAAAAAAACAAAAAAAAAAACAAAACAAAACAAAAAAAAGGATTTCCAGCCCTTTCAGTACCAGGAAGTCATAAAATCTTACTAAGCAATATAATGAGTAATCAGATTCTTTTTGCCCTTACTGCTTAAAGGCTAAAACAAACAGGGGAAGTCTATAACCCATTACTCCTAAGAAAAATTTCAACCTAACAACCCATGTATAACAGAGTACTATAATATTTTTTGCACGGAAACTAACCTGAAGTTACCAAACTCTTTTCGCTGCTGGCAATTCCATAGTAATAACTATTGCAACGGGAGGGAAAGAAACCTAATTTTTAACACATTTGTAGAAATTCTCTCACTATGGCACATGCATCTGCAACTACTGATAGCTGGGTTTTCGATATTCTGTCCTTTGCCATGAATTCAGGCATGGTTACTAGAAAGGCAGGCAAAACCAACTCCCATCTTCCATGTTTTTAATTTATTCTGAAGTCACAGAACATTTCTATTTCATAGCACAACGCTGTTCCAAGGCGTGTTGTACGACAGCCGCTGTTACAACACAAAGGCTCATGGAGGCTCTTTTGCTTGGTTCTGTCCATCTCAGGTCAATGTGCCAACTGTGAAACTGTGGTCAAACAGCCACAGAAGACGGCAAGAAGGGGGCAATCACCAATGACAGCATCGTTTTAAAGCTTACCCAAGTCTACAAAAAGTTCAGAGCATAGTCTGCAGTTTTTTCCAGTCTAACGCTGCTACCTTTTACAGCTGGGATTTATAACAACAGATCCCACTTGAGTCCTGAGTACAGAAGACCTTGGCTGCAGTCAAGGGGCAAAACATTCATTGCTACCTCTCTGGCTGCAAATACTACCTTTAGCCTAAATGTTTTATGACCCCAATGAGACAACAACAAAGGGAAAGAACAGAGATGCTTCAACCACCCCTTCAGAAATGTCCTGCATCTCAGAACTAGCTATTATGGTTCCTACAGTTTACAAAACACAAGCAGAACTCTTAGGATACCATATGGATAAACCAAGGGAGGGAGGAACAACCTCTCCACAAGCAGCATGGGGGCTGGGAGGGGAGGGTCTCTGTGAATGGAAGGCTGGGGCATAGGTCTTTCCCACACTGACATGTTTAAATACAACAGGAGAACATCAAGGACTTAGTCAGCAACCATAGCAAATTGCACCAGGACCAAAATTTTGCATGAATTCATTAGGGAAAGGCCATGGGGTCCTTAAGATTACACAAATGTAAAAATGGGTTTGTTCATTTGTTATACACAAATGTAAAAATGGGTTTTCCAAAGAGATCAAACCTATCCATTCTGAAGGAAATCAATTCTGAGTGCTCCCTGGAAGGACAGATCCTGAAGCTGAGGCTCTAATACTTTGACCATCTCATGAGAAGAGTAAACTCCCTGGAAAAGAATCTGATGTTGGGAAAGTGTGAAGGCAAGAGGAGAATGGGATGACAGAGGATGAGATGGTTGGACAGTGTCAGTGAAGCGACCAACATGAATTTGACCCAACTTCGGGAGGCAGTGGAAGACAGGAGGGCCTGGCATGCTCTGGTCCATGGGGTCATGAAGAGTTAAATATGACTTAACGACTAAACAACAACAAAAATGGGTGATACACTTTTTATTGGACTACTAAAAAAATCAAACAAATTGCAAGCTTTCAGTGAGAAGATTCCACTTCTTCAGGCTAAGCACCACCATTTCATGGATAGTGTAATATTGCATTATTGGGACTTAGACGTACACCTCCACTTTCCCCATACTGCGTCCTTTCTGGTGGAGTACTACAATAATGTAGTGTTCTCGCTGTCATGACTGCATGCTTTGTTTCTTAACCTTCTCCTTACCAGTGGGCCATGGCAGCCTGTCACCCTGCAGGGCTGCACCCTCAGCTGTACAGCCCAGTTTGGATCCTTTTGTGGTATGATCAAAAACAGTCGTCAACCACAATGTTTGGCTTAAGGAGAACTTGAACCTCTGTAGGCAGAAATGCCCGGAGCACTTAGTTGCTAATTTCTTCCTACCTGTGGCACGATGGGCTCACCCAATGGAAGGTGCTCTGACATCACTGTAGCTACAGTGGTGCCTTTGGATCCTTTTGTGGCATGATCAAAAGCAGTAGTCAACCACAATGTTTGGCTTAAGGAGAACTTGAACCTCTGTAGGCAGAAATGCCTGGAGCACTTGGTTGCTAATTTCTTCCTACCTGTGGCACGATGGGCTCACCCAATGGAAAGTGCTCTGACATCATTGTAGCTACAGTGGTTTCAATGGGTTTTTAAAATTTCGTTTGACAACTTTTTCGCTCTACAGTGATTTCGTTGGAACAAATTAACGTTGTCAAGTGAGGCACCACTGTAACAGTATGTGTGTCTGGTAAGAGAATCATGCATCTCCTTGTCAGTATCACAGAATTTGATCCTGCCTTGTTTGGCTGACATGGGGACCATCACTAAAGCATTGACATAACTCCACTACATCAGCATTAAGGCATCATCAAAACTGGTTGTGACTAGTGGACACTGGCAGTCCTGCCACAGTTACTGGTATGGTTGTTGTTGCTCCCTCATGTACACTTTGGATAATTGTTCAACGTCAACTTTAAGCTAGAAGTATGCAAGATATGGTGGCCACTGCACTCAAATATTCATGGTGTCCCTCCTCCACTCAGTGTACATGAATACAGGATGACTCTTAACTGGGTGCCTATGAAAGTAGTATTCACACATCTTCCTCTTCAGATAAAACAGACTAAAAGCTCCTTATAGCTCACGGGGTGACTATGCCTGTTCAATCCACTTACAGGCTCGAGTGACAAATTTGCAAGAGTTCACGGATGAATTAAAACCACTCACGTCATATAGTTGTCCTATTAGACGCACATTTAAAATGTGCCCTTTCAGGTTTTGGATTCCTGATGACAGAAGGATTGCTAATACAGGATTAGCAGCCTAGGAAAAAAAAGATCTTTCCCCATACAGAATGACCCATATTTTGAGTTCATGGCCAGCAACACTGACTGCCTATCCCCCCATCCGTGAGTGATTTTACCCCTGCTGTGAGGAAAATGTCAAAAACTAGAAACATGTGCAAGTGGACGGGTTTAAGAAGATAACTAGAGCTTGTTTGGTAGCAGCATGAAAGGGGGAGAAGAAAGAGGATTGTAAGCATTACTACCTTCAGCAGGCTTTTGCCTTTAAAAATAAATAAATAAAAGATTTGTTTGATACTGATTTAAAGGTTAA